CTGGACATGTCCAAACCACTGTCCCTCCTCTGGACATGTCCAAACCATCTCAGTGTGTCCTCTCTAACTTTAGCTTCCAGTTGTTCGACCTGTGCTGTACCTCTGATGATCTCATTCCTGATCTTCTCCATCCTTGTCTCTCCTCAGAAGAACCTCAACATCTTCATTTCTGCCACTTCCAGTTCTGTCTCCTGTCTTTTTGTCCATGTCTCTGTCTCCAGACCATACAACATAGCTGGTCTCACCACTGTCTTGTAAACTTTTCCTTTGACCTTTGCTGACACCCTTTTGTCACAAATCACTCCTGAAACTTTTCTCCATCACTCCATCCTGCCTGGACTCTCTTCTTCACCTCTTCACCACACTCCCCATGTTCCTGGACAATGGACCCCAAGTCCTTGAAGTCCTGCACCTTTGTGACCTCTGCTCCTTGTAGCCTCACTGTTCCACCTCCTCCCTCTCATTCACACATGGACTCTGTCTTACTACGACTGACTTTCATTCCTCTTCTTTCAAGTGCATACCTCCACCTCTCCAAGTTCTCTTCCACCTGTTCCCTGTTCTCACCACAGATCACAATGTCATCTGCAAACATCATAGTCCACGGGGATTCTTGCCTGACCTCATCTTTTAGTCGGTCTATCACCAGAGCAAACAAGAAGGGGCTCAGAGGCGATCCTTGATGCACTCCCACTTCCACCTTGAAACTATCTGTCACTCCTGCGGCACATCTCACCACAGTCCTGCTGTCCTCATGCATGTACTCCTGTCCTCATGCATGTCCTGCTGTCCTCATACATGTCCTGCTGTCCTCATAAATGTCCTGTACCAGTCTAACATACTTCTCTGCCACTCCAGATCTCCTCATGTAACACCACACCTCCTCCCTCGACACTCTGTCTGATACTTTTTCTAAATCCACAAAGACACAATGGAGTTCTTTCTGACCCTCTCTGTTCTTCTCCATCAGCATCCTCAAATCAAAAATGGATCTGTGGTGCTCTTTCTCTTTCTTGACATGAAACCATCCTGCTGCTCACAGGTAGTCACCTCTCGTCCAAGTCTTGCTTCCACAACTCTCTCCCAGATCTTCATTGTGTGACTCATCATCTTAATTTCCCTGTAGTTGCTACAACTCTGTACATCACCCTTGTTCTTCAAAATGGCCACCAGCACTTCTTCTCCATTCCTCGGGCATTTTCTCACCCTCAAATATGTCATTGAATATTTGAGTCAAAAACCCCACTGCCATCTCTCCAAGACATTTCCAAACTTCCACTGGTCATCAGGTCCTACTGCCTTCCCCTTCTTCATTCTTTTCAGAGCTTTCTGGACTTCACCCTCACTAATCTTTCCCACTTCCTGGTCCACAGTTTCTATGACCTCTACTCTTCTTTCTCTTTCATTCTCTTCATTCATCAGCTCCTCAAAGTACTCCTTCCATCTTCCCTCACACTCTCCTCACTTTGTAAAACATTACCATTCCTATCTTCCTATCGGCAGCACGATGGATCAGTGGTTAGCACTGTTGCCTCACAGCAAGAAGGTCCTGGGTTCAATCCCTGGTTAGACCTGGGGTCTTTCTGGCTGGAGTTTTCATGTTCTCTCTGTGCTGCATGGGTTTTCTCCGGGTACTCCAGTTTCCTCCCACAGAACAGAAACATGCATGTTAGTCTGCCTTCAGGTCCAGGCCTCCCTTGCAAAAGAGATATGTGATCTCAGTGGGATTTGCCTGGTTAAATAAAGGTTAATAAATAAAATAAATAAATACATTTTTAACAACCCTAACCTGCTGCACATCCTTTCCAGTCTGATCCCTCTGTCGCGCCAATCGGTACAAGTCCTTCTCATCCTCTTTAGTATGAACATCTAAAAAATGTTATGGCTTGTTGTAAGTAAAATATATCCATCCATCCATCCATTATCTTTACCCGTTTATTACATTTTGGGTCACGGGGGTCGCTGGTGCCCATGTCCAGCAATCACTGTGCGAGGGGCGGGGTACACCCTGGACGGGTCTCCATTCCATCACAGGGACACATGGAGACAAACGAGACAAACAACCATTCACTCTCTCACTCACACCTAGGGACAATTTAGAGTTACCAATCAGCCTAACATGCATGTTTTTGGTCTGTGGGAGGAAACCGGAGCACCAGGAGAAAACCCACGCATGCACGGAGAGAACATGCAAACTCCACCCAGAAGGCACCTGGACCGGGGTTTGAACCAGAGACCTGCTCGCTGAGAGGCAGCAGCTCTACCAGTTGCGCCACCGTGCTGCCCAGTAAAATATATAAGATTTGCAAATCAGTGCATTGTGTTTTAATTTACAGTTTATACAATGTTACAAACTGAGGGCTGTATTTTTTTCTGGCAAATCTATATTTTTAAGTAAAACAAGTATCTTGAAAACAAATCTGGTAAACAGGATGAAGAACTGGGTGGGCTCCAACATGTTCCTCTGAAACAAAGAAAGCGTCCCAGTTTTCAGGGACGGTCCTGACTGAGAACCTCAGAGCCTGGTCTTTGTTTAGTCTGATGTCTGAGCTGCACACCTGGCCCCTGACCTCCTGCTACTGTCTGTTTGCTGCTTCTTCAGGCTGACAGGCAGGCAGGCAACAACTGCTGCAGAGCTGCAATAAAAGTCTCATACATTATTCATGGAAGCAGCAGCAGCGTTGCTTTATTTCGTATGTAGAGGTCAAGGATCAATGTCAGGGAGGAAGCATCACCTGAGAGCTGGAGGGGGGGTTAGTATCTTGCTCATGGACACACAGGGAGGGGGAATCGCCAGATCTCAATCAATCAAAGTAAAAGACATTTAGTTCAGTTTTTACCTTTTCAAGACAATTTTTCCAAAACACAACAACTTGTTAAGACCCATTATTGGAGGGACCAAAGACTGGTCCTTGTATGTTCTAACACCACTTTGGGGTTAGGACTGGGTTAGGCATGAACTGGTAATTGTTAGGGTACAGAAATGGAAGATCACTGGAAGTCAATGCACGGTCCTCATAAAGATAGGAAAACAAATGTGTGTGTAAATGTAGGTGTGTTTGTATTGTTAGCAAAATATCTCATGAACCACAGGACAGAGTTTAGATTACCAGTGTAATCTAACACTTATTACATTTTGGAGTAATCCCATTTCAAGATGGCCGCCACAGCTAACTGATTTTATAACTCGGTCAGTTTTCTGGAGATTTACCTAAAATGTGGTGTGATGGTAGCTGATCATACTCCCCAACACAAGTTTTGAGCCCTACACATGAAACTATATTTCATTAGTGAAATGGGTCTGACCTGGATTCTAAGCATAATTCAATTCAATTCAGTTTACTCTAAATCTCCAAGTCACAACAGAAGTCGTCTCAGGGACTGAACAGAAACATTCATGTATAAAATAATAATTGAACATTATTTATCTGAGGAGCAGCTTTGAGTTTAACTCCATCACTGAACTCTCATCTTGAACAAGCATGAAGGCGACAGTGGAAAGAAAAACTCCCTCATGAGGAAGAAACCTTTAGCAGAACCAGGATCAGGACAAGAGGACCATCTGCTTCGACCGGCTGGGTTTGGTAAGAACAGATACACAATGGCAGGTCAAGAATCACATGTTAAGATAGAAATAGTATCAAATGAAAACTATTCAGTTTTAACAATCCATTTAAGGAAACCCAAGTCAACCCTAACTATCGGATTTATCAAAAAGGAAAGACTTAAAACTGGACAATGTGTCAGCCTCACGGACAGAAACTGGAAGTTGGTTCCACAAGAGAGGAGCCTGAGAACTGGAATATCTTCCTCCCATTCTGCTTTTGGAAACTCTAGGAACCACAAGTAAACCTGCAGTC